AGATGTCTGTCTCATCACCCACAGTTGTTCTCCTTATGTCACGAAGCTCTGGCATGAAGACATTGAGTCTCAGGAGTAATGAACTTAGCTATGGGCTAGAGACTCTGAGGGAGTAGCCACCTGTCATGAGTCTTCAGCACACCACCAACGTGAGCACCATGGTGCTCCAGTGCCTTTGTAGAGAGTATGGTTTGACTGGAACCATCTTCCTTTGAAGTGCTTTCCATTACTGGGCAGATATGCCAGTTGTGGCAGTTTTCCATAGACAGGGATGGTATATTAGTTTTCTGTGTATCCTGGCTCCTACCTAAGTAGCTGGTATGGGCAGAACTGTTTACAGCAGGTCTTTTGAACAAATAATTAATGGATTATGACATATCTTTGGAATGTATGGACATATAGGGACATATTTCTAGGACTCGAGGACATACTGGTAGCCCTTCAAGGCTGTTGCAGTGCCTGTTATGCTGTACTGCTGGAGGGCTGGGTTCTAGCCAGCTATAGACTCCAGCTTGCCAGGTCCAGCAAGAACACAGGAGGAAGCAGAGAACCTACATCTAAGGAGGACCTGACAATCAGTTACCTTCACTCATAGTTCTCTAGCATCGTACTCAGTTCTACAGATTCCCTTTTCCCCTTAGATGTCAGAATTGTATCAAAGAACATCCCCCTGGAGAGAAAATCTTCCTGAAAGGGTGAAAAGTCACTAAATTGAGATCTGCACCATTGAGGACCCAGTGCCTAAGAACTCTGTGGGAAGAGTCTCTTTGCACATTTGGAGGTCAAAAGCACAGTTATTCGTCCTCATCTCCCAACCCTAAAATTATTTTGTTGCTACTTAACTGTAATTTTGCTACTGCTATAAATCATAATGTAAGTGTCTGATATGCAGGATATCTGATCTACAAGCCTAAAGGGGTGGAGACCCACAGGTTGAGAACCACTGGTCTAGAACCCACAAGCAGCAGATCTACAGGTTACTTGTCTCTCCTGTGCTGGGAAGAGCCAGGCTCTCATTGGGATTGCTGACCAAACATGATACTGAGGTGCACAGGAACTCACTGTGTTGTGAATGTGTTGGTTTGCAGCTCAGGTCCTAAGTGTACTCTGTCGGCTTCATAGGAGGCTGTCACCTCTGGACAGTTTGTCAGGAGGGAAAAATGTTTGTTCTAGGACCTCTCACTACAGAGCTCTCAGATGGAAAGACCACAGGTTCTGGCCAGCCATGACTGAGTTACCCAGGAAACTGTCTTAATGAACAGTTAGGCTGTGATCCAGTCATTTTGTGTGTGGGTTTGGTTAGTCCTCAACAATCATACCCGCTAGGTACAGTTTCACCCTTGTTATGTTAATGAGGAAATTAAGGCACACAGAAGCTACAACCAGTAAGTAAAGGGAGAGATGGCATTCAAACTGGAGTAGTCTGGGCTCTCTAGGGAATGTGCCTGTTTTCTGTACTTTTCACACCAACTTCCTGACAGAAGCATTATCCAGTGATCCCCACTTGGTGATCCTTATATGTAGCTTAAGCTGTGGTTGACCAGTTACAGAACACAGAGCCCACATGTGTTTTGTTTGTGGATGCACATTTTGCCTTAAAGACATCCCTCTGACCCAGCAAGGAGGAGCTGCTTTGTTGACCATCAACAAAGAAAATGTAATATTCCCCACGAAGCAGCTCTTGCTATTGACCTGACATGATGCCAACTCAGCGAGCACTCTAAGCTGGTCTCCCAGCAGGGCACTATGGATTTCCAGGCATGGAGCACTCCAGACTCAGAGCTGTAGGCCTCTGGCGAGGGGAATGTGCTAGTTTGCATTTCTCTTGCTGCTGGGGCTCAGAGGCCTCCTGCCAACAGCCTTGGGCATGGTCTGAAGAAAGGGAATGTCCTTTGGCTGGCCAGCTCTTAATGGCTGAGCTCTCATCTAGCACACCAGTGCTTTCAGTGTTACTTCTCTCTTAGACATGTTACTTCTCTCTTAGGGCATGCTATCAAGTCTTTCCCTTAATGAGACAACCTGTTCCTGGTCCTCACCTTTCACTACAAACTTTGATTCTGGGGTGTGGCAGGTTTACAAGTTGAAAGTTTTGGGGGTGGGGAAGGCAGAAAATAGAAGTGTTCTGGCTTCTCGGTTTTCAGTAGCCACACTCTTTCTGTTCCTCAGTACACGGGTAAGATGTTTCATAAGTGTCTGTGCCATGTTTGTAGGCAGAAAATTAGTTCTTAGAATCACAAGAAAGAAAGAAAAACAAATTTAATACAAAAGCTCCCAAGGTAGAGAGATCTAATAGAAATGCCATTCTGTTTAAATTTAAAGCCTGTAGGAAAATTTCAAAGTCCACTTTCAAAGGGCCAAGCAGAAGGCCTCCCATTGAAAGCCTGGAAACTTCCAGGCCAGCTCTCCTCACAAGCGACTTTGAAATCTTAGCATCTTATCTAGAATGAATGCTGCCTCTGCTGTCCCTCATTCTGTAGTCCTGAATAGAACCACCACTGTCCTCCACAGGGTGTGGTGTTAGTGTCACCTCATCTGACACAGTACTGACACACACCAGCATTACTCTCAGGCCTGCCTTCCTCTTTTGTCCCCTCTTCAGAGCCCAAGATCACACATTCAAAAGGCAGCAGGCTTTCTAGGTGAGGATGCATATAGTGGCATTCTAGTGGCCTTTGGAAGTGAAGGAAGGGACTTTTCTGTTTTGCCTCACACAGCACTTGGCTAGAGATTAGCCACAGCCACCAGAAAGATGGGACTCTAGCCCTTTCGAAAATGCACTCAGAAGAACCCCCCCTCCAACTGTTTTGTTTCCAAAGTCAATTTATTGAATATTAATTCATAAAGACAATGATATAATTTTAATGAAAAATATCCTGTATCACTCAAGACTTAAAACAATACCCCTTAGAAATAATCACATTAATTTTACACATAAGTGCTTTCTTAAGCTTTATTTAAGAAATTGAGTACTATATAGTTCAATATATATAAGACACATCCAGTATTGTGTTCCTGATAGCAAGTGCATAGATTTTGTTAAGATACCATTTTTCACTCGATAGAAATGGTTCATGGTCACATGAAGGTAATATTCCCAGTGATTTTGCCCAAGCATGAGAGGGAAAAAAACAGAAAAAACAGCAAAAAAAGTGAACTACAACAGAAATGAAAAACAAAAACAGTGAATTAGTAGAACAGTCGATTCCTGATAAGTGAATAAGCTGATTGTCTGGACACAATGTTTTATTCACTTATCAGGAACGATTCATGGTCCGCTTATGTTCACTGCATTGCCTAGCTTGCTAGCTATGAGCCTGCGGATCACACTCCGTTGCTGTGGCTTGGTGGGCATGTGGCATCCACCAGCCAGGAAATGTATATGGTTCTGTGGTTTCTCAAGATGGTCTGTGCACGGGCAGCAGACAGACCTGCTCACACCATAGTGGAGTTCTACAGAATCAACACTGAGTGCGAATTTAAGCAGCTGCTGACTTTACAGTCACAGGTGCTTACAGGAAGGAGCCTTTGTGTCTTTTGTAGAAAGACCTGCTTTGTCTTTCTGTGCGTAAACATTATGCCTTGTACTGAATGGAGGTCATATTTGTATTTCAAAAAGAAACACATCTTGGAAACAATTTGATCATCCTTTCCCCAGTCTTCCCTCCCTTATGCCGCCCATTCTTCCAGAAGAGAAAGAAAAAAAGAAATCACACCTTTAGCCATCTTTAGCCTCAGTAATGGAAGCAGTGGCCTTTCGGAGGCTGACTGACAAGGCAGTGAGATAGACGGCAAGCATCTCTAGGAATTGGCTTCCATCAGTGAAGGTTTAGGAATCTGAAACTCATCCCCAGTGGAGTGTTCAGCCTAAGGAAAGAGCAGCCTTTCTTCTGCTTGGTAGGCCCGAGGTTGTTGACCTGACTGAAGAAAGGGCCTGAGGGGCCAGCTGAAACCAGGGGGTGGACAGCCAGAGCTTCAGGGGACTCTTAAGGGTACCAGGCTCAGGATGGCCTGATGCAGGCAGAGCACGTGCACTGAAAAGTTAGAAGCAGGGAGAAGGGAACAGAGCAAACAGTCATGGGATCTGTGAAGAACATCTTGAGGACAGCCAGATTCCTGAGCTGGCGGACAGTAGGACAGTAGAGCAAGGCGGGCATGTGGCTTTCACTGCAAGGGCCAAGGGGGCAGTTCTCTCATCAGGGGTTGAATGACAGTGGGAGCACAGCTCACTCCTAGCCTGTGTCCATCCAGGAGGGAGCACAGGACCTATGGCATTATGAGCTGCCATCTGGAAATGGACAGAATTCCCCCACTTCCCTCATTCAGTCCAGTTTCCATTGGAGTAGCTGGCATTTTTCTCACTTCCATCAGTTTTAATAACTGAAGCTACTCCTGGATTAAACTGATCAGCTTATAGAAATAAATGCATTTCTAAACATACCTATCAATTGATGTAACACACAGCTAAGTTGAACTCTTTTTATACACCCTGTTGAGCAGCTAGTTTTCTTTTGTCCTCCCCTGAGGGCTCACCTCTTTTGTCAAGATGATCCCTTTCTAAGCCTGACTCTAGTTATGTGACTTTGGACTTGAGACTATACAGAAGAGACCCTGGGTCTACTGCTGCTGTTCCTCTTAAGGTTGCTGCAAAGACTTAATATCCTAAGAACTGTGGATATGAGGGAGAAGAGAGGAAAGGAACATGTGTGGTCAAAAGACCAAAAACTGCCTTGCCAAGCCCAGCCCTGTAGGCAGTTATTAGATGAATCTCGGGGAAAAAGCATGTCATCTTGGAAGCAGTGGTTAGGGTAGGCTACACATAAACCAGAGGTGGGACGTGCCGTTTCCTCATTTCCCAAATCAGATATTCACTTAGGTGGAATCGACTGTATCTTTTTTACACAACATATAGAAAAAAAACAGATACGTGCAACAGTGAGGTGTGTAGATGCGTCACCAACACAGAATGACTACCAACGATACAACACGCAGAGAGAAACAAGTATTAGGAAAATGGTTTAATATTGGAGACAGAAGCAAAAAACCGCATCACACAATAACATACATTACAAAAATAAGTCTGACTGTTTCAACTACACGGTTATGTTCACAATGAGGACAGAAGGGTCAGAAAAAACTTCGATCTAAACAGCAAAAAAGCAAACTCCTAAAGTTTAACTAATACATTTATCCACTTAAAGTGACTGAGTACTTCTAAGTCTAATTATCTTATTGTGTAACTGCACAATACAGAATAAAAAGTGAAACTTACCGCTGTATTTTAAGACAAAATTCTAATGCTAGATATAAGCAAAGGGAAAAAAGAAATCAAGCCAAAGTTTTTAATTCTTAAAAGAAAAGCAACTTTCTTTCTGTCAACCAGAAATCAAACTTGAAATCAGTCATTGTCAGGGGCCCACAAGAGTAAGCCACAAAAATTTCCATTTTTTAATCTCCAGTATAAAAAATCCCACTGGTACAAAATGCATAAGTACAATCAGTTGTAGAAATAGGAAAGCCTGCGTTTTTGTTTTTTTGGCTCAAATTCCATCAAACAACAAAATCCAAATGCATCAATAAAACAGAAACAATACTCAATGATCTTACAGTTTCCACTAGGTTGCATTAACTTTGGCTTTTCTCAGACAATATTTAAAAACTATTTTGTAATTCTAAACAAAATGGTATTATTAATCTACAAACAACAATTCCCACAGCACAAAAAACACAAGTACATTTTTGTATGACATTATTCAAAAGGTAATGAAACTACATTTTTTTTAAATTTTATTTCTTTTTAATTAGCACTTAAGATAATAAAAACAGAAACAGTAAATGATTCCAGAGTAGCACAAGCCAAAGAACCAGAACCCCTGCGGTGAAAGAAAGATGAACTTGTTACACCTTGGAGGTGCCATTTGATCAGAGTTCTCTGAGTGAGTTTTAAAAGACTATGCTCTAGACTTGACTTTAAAAACGCAGTTTCCCTGTGTTTTTTTTTTTTTTTTTTTTTTGTCTTCCAGAAACAGGCCCTGTACACCCTTGCAGCTTTTTCCTTTTGACATTGAAAGATAAAGGACAGTTTGTCTCTGAGGAAGGTTATCTTTCTAACAATGGAACATGCAAAACCAAAAACCTCCCCCTCCATGTACTGTCTTGGTTGCCTGCAAAATTAGAAACACTCAACAGAAAGTGCCTGCCTGGCCCAAGCCTCTTCGGGGGGACTGCAGGTGGGTTAAGAGGAAGGAGGGCAGTTTGCATCCATGGGAAAAAAAATTTGAGTTTTTTTTTGAGAATTATGTCATTGATAAATGAATAGATTCTGAATGAGATGGTCTATGAAATACAACTGGTATTCTCTTGTGTTTCTACACGTGTATCTACACACCATCATATAGTAGAGACTGAGAAATGTGTGTGACCACTTTGTTATTAAGGTGAGTGCTGCAGAAAGTACAAAATAGCCCTCAAGGATGAAGGAAGGCCCCGGCAGTAGTAAACAGGTGTGGGGTAACACGAATCATGTCATTGGAAGTGCACGTGCTGTAAGGAGGAAACTTGTTTTTTGCATTGTGAGAGGCTAATCCTTTCCATCTCAGGGCTATCACATTCACACACACACACACTAAATCAATGGGGTGGGTGAGAAGGAAAAGGGGGCTCAGGGCAGAAACTTGCAGGGTGTGCTTTCCCCAAGGCTGGGTGTGTGCTGGGACTGTAGGTGTGACATTAGGGTCTGTTCATACAGAGCCAGACTCAGAAGAATGTGGCACTTTACAAAGTGGCAGCAGGAACTGACCCTAGGTATTTGGTTAGTAACTGTGGTCAAGAACAGAGCCAAGCTCCTCTTACATGGCCGGCCCCTTTAAATGTGTTCAATCAAAAGTCAAAACACCCTAGAAAACCAGAGAGGCAAGGAAAGATCCATGGGCTTTTCCCACAGATACCTTGCATATTCAGGTGTCCACTGGAGTTCAAAAATTCCTAGCACAATGGCTGATTCAGCATTACTTAGGAGCGTTTAAGAAACAAAAGCAAAATTCCTTGAAAGACTAGACCATACAAAAGCCATTTAACTGCAGGGTGTATGAAAATATTGTACACTACGACAAAACCATGAAACCTGATCTCAAAAAGCAAACAGTGTCGTCAGGGTTTATTTCGGGGCTAAGTCTACCTGTTTTTTTGGTTTTTTTTTTTTTACCTTCACAGGGTTTAACTCAAGCTTTTAAACTTAAACTTAAAGGAGCATAGGATAATAGGAATGGGGGAATAAAAAAGAAAATAAAAAATGGTATAGGAAAAAGACAAGAGTTTTTAGGTGGGTGGATCTCAAAGAATAAAACTAAGAACTTAGAAGATATAGATGGGAAAAATCCAAATCAGAAACACCCCAAAACAACTCAAGGATGACAAGTATAAAAAGTTACCAACATTCCAGATAGCTCTGGGTAGAAAGGGTTAAAAGTTCAAGACTTTCTCACCTTAGAGGTTTCCAGATATTATGAAGAAAATACATTGTGAGGGTTGCCTTCACAGCATTGATGTGTAGAGTGGTTAAAAAAGGGAGACATGGGCACTTATACAATGTCTTACAAAAAACAGCATAGAGAAATAACAAACAATAACAATTTCAGGCAACAAGACCACAGAATAGCAAGTTAACAAACTTTGTAACCTTTTTTTTTTTTAAATATTAGGGATTTATACAAAACACATAATAAAATACCCATGTTATCAAATTACTTCTCACAAGAAACACACCGAAGCTCTAGAAGGAAGTACCTTTGGAATTTGGCACTATATAGTTTTCACTTTTTTTCTTTAAAAGAAAAAAACAAAAACAGATCACATTTTGCTGAACACAAACACATCTAATAGTCCACAATAAAAAAAAGTGACATCAATGCTTCTCAAGCCAACACAAAACTTATTCTGGAATAGTATTTTTTTTCTCTCACATGAAATTATTTTTTTAAGCAAACAACTTTTTTTTGAAATTCTTTTTTTTTGTTTTAAGTAAACCAATTCTAAGCTTGTCTTATCAACAAATAACATTAAGACCTTAAGACTCATGATGAGACCACAACTGAATCCACAGAAGCACCAACATGACACAGTTTACAGTAACCTTTCTCCTGTACATTGAAACAGTATAAAATATAGGTAATTTCATGTGCATTAAACCATGGATTGTCTAACTGTGAGTCAGTTCAGCAAAAGGTGACACAAATAGGTAGCATTTGCCCCAAAACAGGGTAAATATTTTTCTTATACTAATCTACAAAAGTGGTTCTATATATATATCTTAATGAGAAAGTGAGCCACCTAAAATGGCCTTATCAAAAAACTTTACACTGCCTGAAAAATGTAAAAACTATTACAGACCTCTAGAGACTTAAAATCAGACAGTTTTTTTTTTTTTCTCAAACTGTTTTTGGAAGTAGTCTGTTAGAAACCAACATTCTGTGTCCCTGGACACATATTGCTATTGTCACCAGTGACCGGGAAGAATGCCAATCCCTGTGTAATACTTTCAAGTCTGTGTTATGAAAAGAAAAAAAAAATAAGAAAGAAACATTTTTGCCACAGGTTTTTTTTTCTATAATTTGTCTAATAATTTCAGTCTTGCATGAATGCAGCAATGTTTTTCACATTGACTTCCCAGAATTCATAGCTAGATGAGGTCACATGCAAATTTCAAAGGTCAAACTAGATCAAAGGTCAGTAGGAGAACCAAATATGATGTGAGGTCAGAAAGACATCAGAAACAATGACGGGACGATGAAACTTTTTTTGAGACGCCACAGGGACATGCTAGGCAAACGATGAACTAACGGGCATGAAGATGTCTAGGGAAAAAACAAGGAAGAGTAAAAAGTTACACAGAATCTACGCAGCAGCAACAAAATCACTTTCAAGGGTGCAGGAGAAAAACTAATGCAAATCTTAGGTCTTCAGGGAGTCTATGAGCCATTCACATAATTTGCATTTCTTACACTCTTTTTCCACAGCACAATGAAACCCCAAGAGAATCCATCTGGAGAGAGCGAGCGAGCAAGAGGGGATGGATTCTGGGTGTTTGGGGTGAGGGACTAGCAAGGGACAGAGGAGAGGGTCCAGTTTGAACAAAGGTGACATATGGGGAAGTCAAGACAACTGAACTGTAAACTAGATAATGGAAATTACAAACAAAATAATCAGACAGATACAAACAACAAGAGGATAAAGCATGAACTTTAGGTCTAGGGTTCAACAGTGAAAAAAAGCCCATTCCTAGAACAATTCCTCTAGAGACTACTTCAGAAGGTTCTAGCTAGACAGAGAACTGCTCTTTAGGTACCCAATAAGTTAACAATAGGCAATAAATAACTTCCATTATTTCTGAGGCAGTAAAAATTTTGTATAAAAATAGAAATGCTTTTTTTACAAATAAAATTTACAGGCCTGTGGCTTTCTTTTTATTTATGTATTATTTATGTATTTATTTATTATTAAATTTATCTTTCAAGAAACATCAAGTATTTTCACTCATTTTATTTTATTTTTAAACCCTGTAGCTTTAAGAAACAGATCTCTAAATCTTTTTTTACATTAATCCTTTCTAAAAACAAAATAAAACAATAACAAAATAGACAACCAGTGTAATAATCTGACCAATAAATGTCATGTTTCTTTGAACCCTAAAATAAAATCCTACTTATATTAAAACAAACCAATGTAGTGGGAGGATGTTCTGTGGTGTTTCGGGGGGGGAAAGACGGGTGGGTTCTCCAGGCAGTGCTCTTGGGGCACCAGTGGTTTCAGAGTTAGAATTGCACATTAGTGTTTGCTTGCCTTTTAAAATCTCAAGATGTCATTTATTTGTTTATATGTTTTTCTTTTAAAATGCAAAACAAAAAATTTTTAAAAAGGAGTAAGGGTATTCAAATTGCAAAACAAAGGAGAATAAATACAGTGGCACAATTAGAGGAAGAATTTACTCAACAGAAACAAGGTAGCCCATCTTTTAATTATGGCAAATTGGGTGGGGCATGAGTGGAAGAAATGGAGGCCTTATTGTAAAAATAACCGTCTCTCTTGGTAAAAGTTGGCATTGTGGTCCCTCCTCTGCCTTCCCTGTTGAGAACAGGCTGGCTTGTGGGACTTACCCTAAGAAAGCTAAAATAAGAGCAGGGAGCTTCTGGGGTTAGGATCAGTAAGGTTTGCTGTCGTTTTTGGAGCGCTTCAGCTGCACCTTCAAACGTTTCATGCCGATCTGAAAGCCGTTCATAGCCTGGATTGCAGCTTGGGCAGAGACTGGATTGTCATAGCTAACAAAACCTGGAAGACATAAAGGGGAAGGAGGTACGGAGGTCAGGGTGAAGGGGAAGTCAAGCAGAAAACGGGGCTGGCGGGGCTGGCCGGCATAGTGTGACTGCAAATGCTGAGAGGTGCCTGCTAGGTTTATGCTGTTCCATGCATGTACAGTACATTTCCATGGACAACATTGGTAATGAACATTGGCAAGTAGTGAAAGAGCTAGTTGGAGTGCAATTCTCCATGCAGGGCAAAAACCCTCTCCACAAAACTAAAGTTAAGTTCTATGAACTTTGTCCCTCTATTTAGTCTTTGAAGTGATACCTGTTTATCTCCCCTCCTTCCCCCTCCCAGAGTCCTTTGGAATCCTTGGAATAGAGTAAGATTTTATACATACATATATGTATGTATAAAGTGTGAAGCCAGTTAAGCAAGTGGTAAGCGTATGCACCTCCTGACTTTGAGTGGTAACAGAAAGCTACTCCATGTATTGAATTTTACTTTGAAACATCATTAATTTGGAAGATTATGGCATTTCCACCTATCTACTACTATGAGGCTTAAAACTAAAGAGAAAATTCTTTTACAAACCAGTGGAGGGAGCAAAGGACATAAACATACTTGGAACAGAGTTCTCAGCTGATAAAAGTGGACACAAGGTAAAAGGCAGGAAAGCTTTCAATAGGTAGGCTGTATGCAAAAATGGTGTTTACATTTCTGTTAACTCCAATTCGCAGTAACAGTAATCTTAAATCTAAGACTTTCCTTTCTCTTGGGGTCTTTTAGGTAGAAGTGGCAAGATGATTAAAGAATGGAAATGAGTCAAGAGTGACATGGATGAAAGGATGGGTTTATTATGACCAGAAACTCAGCAAACTGGGAGCTTAAGACACAGATTCACTTACTGAGAAACTTGGGAGGTAAAGCTTTTAGGACAAATTGAAAATGCATTTCGGATTCTCATAGCTACAGCTTGTATTATCATGAACATATTGGTTAAGTAGTTTCTGGACTGATAAAATCTCTTTTCAAGGTAATGTTTCCTTAAATCATGGACTACAGTCCCTTTCAGTCTCCATATAAACTTAAAGCAAGCAGTGGCAAATATGTCTGTCTAAAAACCTTACACAGGAACCCTTCTCAAAGGTAAGCTCTGGCTCTCACATGCATGCACCCCACAGGACAGCTTAGTTCCCATTTTACTCCTCAGCTGTTACCAGGTTTCTATACAGTTCCCACAGAGGTGTAGTGGACTTAGGCTGATAGCCTTTCTTCTAGGGTAAAAACAATCCCTGGAAATGGCTGATTTGTTAATTCTTCTAACCCCGAGGCTTAGGTCATCCTGGATGATGAGACATCTTAGCACCAGAGCTTGTAGAACCAAAACACTATCTATCAGTCAGCCAGAGAAGGTTTGAACTTGTGGCTGTTTGAGAAGTAGTCTACCCTGTATATTTTTCTTTGTAACACATATAATTCTATTTCTTTTGGCCCTTATCTTATTTTATAAAATGTACTGCCTCTCACAATATTAATTATTAAATTGTAGGAGTGATATCAAGAAAATGGAGTGGGCCAGAGCTTGCTAAGCAAGGCTCTGAATACCCTGGACTCTTAAAGTCTTTGGAGCTAAATCCATTTGACAAATAAGGAAGTCCTGAATTTAACAAATGCTGTCCTAGTCATACAGAAACACCAGGACAGAAATTTTCATTACTCTGTTATAGAAGGGGAAAAAGAAGATGCTCCCTCTGGACCCCAAGGGTGCAAGACCTGACAGCTAGGTGCTTTGTAGTGTTTGATGAATACCTGCATATTCCTGTGCTCTGGCCTATGCACATAGCCCTGGCCAATCTTACAATCTAAGCCCATCCTAATGCTTTGTTCTCTGTAACCACAGGATACATCAACTGCTATAGAGATGCAGTTGTGGCAGCAGCCTGACCATATCCTGCTTATGAGTGTGTACATTAGTCATCTAAGTATTGAGTAACAAGCCCTGATACAGTGTTTGAGCTATTTGAGACTGTAGGAGTAAGGAGTTAGTGGCAAAGTGCTAGCAGTGGTCATTTGTAGCATTACAGACTGAAAATTCATGGATCTATCTACAGGGTTTGAAGAAACAACTACTGCTCTATGGTGAGAAAGAATCAGATATATAGGAAGATACTTTAATGCTACAGTATAGACTATTACCTAACATAAGGGAATGTCCCTTTTTATATAGCACTTCCCCCTTTTCTGATTAAATGACTGCCCAAATCTGTTTACATGCAACTAGAAAGTCAGGAGCCACCACCAAAAGGAAGGCCCTATCCTGACTCCTGACTGGGAAACCTGCAATATTTAGCTAGGTTTCTTTTGCATACCAAAGCACTTGCTCAGATTGGTCTGTTTGTCAATGAAGACTTTAGCAGAGATAACATTTCCAAAGGGCATGAACATCTGCAGAATGTCCTGGTCTCCAAACTCCTGTGGAAGGTGGTAAATAAAGAGGTTTGCCATCTCTGGACCTAAAGAGGAAGAAAAAATCAGAGTAAGGTATCCCCCAAGTCTCAGTCCCGAAAGCCTCTTAGGAATACTTTAGTAATAGACAGGCTAGTCATTGGCTTTTATTATAAAGAATATGCAGATGGATAATTTTAAGTGCCAGCATGATTCCCAGGAAAACATTCGTCCTTTGAAATTTTCTGACTGGTAGCAGGGGTGTAGTGAGGATGCTCTAAGTAGCTTCTTTTTCATAGAGAATCTTTGGCTCACTTTAGCTGTGCATTAGCACTCATCTCCACGGTGAGAAGGTGGTGGTAGTAGGCAGGACAGGGACAGAATTTAGGCATGGGTTATTCCTGGGTAGCCATGTTTTATGTGCAGACTATCTCCGGAGGTGGAAGAGATTGTTCTTTGCATTCTAAGCAAACTGCAGCAATTTAGAAAAATGAATACAACAGCAGTAATGCTGCTTGGATTTCTCAATCATTTGCCTGGTTATTCAGCCAGTTTTGATTTGGCAAATCTGTGTGCACACACTGTAATAATCATCTTTATTAGAATGGCTGGCAGGAAGTCAACAACTGGGGAAAAGGTGGCTAGAATCTTACAGTTTTGACAGGCCTTTATCACTCAGAATTATACTTGAGTGCTGTGGACTCATGAGCTTCTCCAAGACTGAGTTAAATACAGTCTTTCCTTTTCATGCAAATCCCAGAAGCTAAGGGGGAAGAGAGAAGGTCTTTTTAGCTGTACTCCTTGGAAGGTTAGTTTTCTTAAGTTCCTCATTGAACACAAAATTCACAGATACAAGAGCTGTATGGATACGAAAAGAAGGCAGCCAGATGAACTGGACAGAGAGGATAAAGTCAGGATACTTCTTGGGCACCTGGAAGAAAAGGAGTTCACAGAACTTGGGGCAGTGACATCTGCACCTGGTTATCACAGAGAGGGAACTTGCCTGTCTGTTCCACGAGGAGACTGGTGGCCAGGATCCTGTGCCTTCCCTACAGAACTCTTACAGTGGGGAATAGTGTGTGGACACGAGGATAATGAAGATTAAATAGGACTTTGTAAAAATAAACGAATTGGTGTATCTTTGTCTGTCCCCAGAATATTAATGAAGAAAGTGTTGTAAAGAATGACACTTTACTGAAGCCAGAGATGTAGTTACTTCTTCTTTCCTTAAAAACATGTCTGTATTAATACACTGCTTACAGAGTCTGTGGGTATTTCTATAATCCAGCTCAAAGGAGGCAGCCTGTTTTAAAGGGAGACAAGTATGGCTGACACTGCTCCTTTAACTATTTTCTGGTCTTGATATGGATAGATGCGAAAACTCAAATGCTGGAAATGGGCGTGCTAAGTGCTACTGTACCATGTGTGTTCTTAGTAATAGGTATACTAGTCAAATGTGTACCCTAGATTTAGTGTACCTTTTAAACAAAGGATTTAAATGCTTCAAGAAGGATTAATGGGGCTCAATTTGCACTGCAAGGAATGTTGCTACTCCTGAAGCCTGAGCAGTAAGTACAATTTTAATGAATAGACAGACTATATGTGCCTAAATGATCCTGGGAATCCAGAAGGCTACATATATATTCTGATCTGTACATGCTAGAGAGAGGAAGACCATGAACAGTGAGATGGACAAAAAGAGGTATTGCTCCTTTTGTTTATTATTTTCCCAGGGAAAAATTCCAACATCCACTTGGTCCCCTTCCTCTGCTATGCTATTACCAATAAGCAGTTTGATCTTTTAACCCTCCCAAACTGAGATTACTAAAAATAGTTTTATACAGAAAAACATTCATTGTATGCAACTCATGTAGCTGATATCAAAACCAGCAAAAATTCAAGCACACATACATACAAACACACACAATCTAGATCTCTAAAAGTAATTAAAAACCTGTTCACAACTCACCCTTTTTGTTTGTCCACTTTCTCCTAGCACAACATCTTAACTGGCAGCTGTGTTATAGGACTGGTTCCTACAGGCTGGCAGTTGTATTCTGTATTTCTCATAGGGTACCTGATGTAACACAAAACCCCAAGGCCCAGAGGCAACTATCTTCTAGAACAAAGCTACACCAAACCTACAAGTGCCAATTGGCCTCTTGCTGGGACCCTAACTATTTGTGTATTCATAACTTGCCTCCTCCTGTTAAGGAAGGGAGATGGGGATGTATGAGAGTAGCCCCAGGGTATTCACAAGGGCATGAAAGGTGCTAGGCTTTCCTGATATTTAGGAATGCTATAATCCTTCAAAAAATTTTTAGCTATGGAAACATAGATTTGAATCATTTCTTTGCCAAGTCCAAATGGCTCATTTTCCTGTGGTGGCAAAATATACCAGAGTCCATGACTAAATAGTTCAGGGTACATTTCAACTCTAACTAAAGGTCGGTAAAGGACAGAGCTTTAGATTAGGGAATCTCAAAATCTGCTAATGGCAGATGGATGGTACTGTTGAGCTAGATTAACTGGGTGAGAAGATGATCAAGAGAGGTATGAGAAGGTAAGAGATGGGGTTGGAGGCAGGGACAAACAAACCAAACCAATGAAATGAACAAACCAAAAGCTATGACTTGTACCAAAAAATAAAGAGCCCTAAAGCATATCACTATTAGCCACAGCCCTAAATTAGAATTAGAACATGATGATCATGACCTCCAGACCTTACAAATCAAAGAACAGCAGCTTACAGCAGTGGGTTGGGGTGAAGTCATTTAGAAAAATATTGTTACAGGGCCCAGACCTTAATCATTTGATTTTAAATCTTTTGGTGGCAGTTTTATATCTGAGTGATACAAGTTATACTACAAAGCCATGCTGAATAATGGAGAGACATCCAGCATTCTCCAGAGCCACTTAGGGAACTTAGCTTTGTTATCTTACAGGTTCTCTCCCATGGTATTTACTTCTCATATGGCTCTCAACCCTAAAGCGACTAAACAAAGACAGGCTTTCTTAGGGAAGACCTGTGGTGCTCATGATGTGGGGTCCCTTTCAAGCACCAAGTGAGATACAATTGTCTAAACAGATGTGCATGTTTGAAGACCTATAGAAGTCACAGCTCAGAGGAAAGATCTGAGAAGTTAGGTCTCATGTATTTTTCTCCCATGATCTCTATCTATGCTATTTGTCAAAGGAAAATTTATTTTCAATTTTTAAGTTGTATCTCCTTAAAAATCCTAACTTTGCAGAGTAAAACTATGGTACCCCTTACAAATTACTACCTTTAAATTAATATCCAAGTAGAAGCCACTTGTAACTACAGAGTGAGGGTGAAAGGGGAAAAAAACCCAAAAATTCTTCTGATTTACCTTTCCCCATATTCTGAACAAGTCAGAACTAAAACAGCACATTGCTGACTACTTTAAAGCAACTTCAGTTAAAAGAGAAATTAAAACAGTGGATTGTGGTAGCACAAATGTAATTATAACCCTAGCACTAGGGAGGTGGAGTCAGTAAGACTGGCACAAATTCATGGACAGCCTGGGCTATAGGATGAGATCCTATCTCAACAAACCAACCAACCAATAAAGCAGAAGAATGAAACGGAAGGACAAACTATCCTTATTTGGATGAGCCCATGTACCATTTTATAATTAGTTTTAATTTATTCTTAGTATTAGCTTTCTGAAATGTACCCTTCCTTACTGAACCCTTCACTTACTTTATTTCCCAGAAGACATGCTCCATATACAGCAAACTAAGCCATTCCTAACTGTGGATTCCATCATTAGTTGGAGCCTATTGCTCACTGAAAGGTAGCTACACAACTTTTAGGGATGTGGACACCAAGAACTTAGGGAATTCAGGAGAGAAGCTCTTCCTCCACACTGAATCAAATGGTACATCTCACTAAGGAGTTTCTGTGTGAGGAGACAGACTGAGTATTCATGCTGACTGGGGAAAGGATGTATTAGGCATTTTTGATAGTAGCAACATTTCCTGTAAATCATTTCCTGTAAACACCTGATGGATGAGAACCTCATAAGGGATTCATGAAAAACTGAGGACAGTGTAAGATGAACAAAAGACTGTGACAAAGGGCTCATGCTTGAGAATTTTTTCTTTAACATGAATATTAGAAAGTAAGCAGGTGATTTCTCTTAAGACACTGGTTTAAGTCAGCACCTTCTGGTCATGCTCTAAAGGCAAATGCAGATCTGGCTGGCCCCGCCAGGCCCTTTGGTGCAGATAGATACCTACCTTCCTTCTGGCTGCCTGCAGCACTCTGCTGTTGCAGCAAGCTCTGGCTGTATAAAGTGGGCAGTGCAGCTGCCGCATACTGCTGAATTCCTGAGTAGGCCTGGGTAAGGGCGTCCATGGTGCCAGCCGTGCCATTCGTCAAGCCTGTGGCGCCAAGTCCTCCATTCAGAGCCGCCATACCTGAGAGCATTTGAGCAACTTTACAAAAAACCCAACAATAGAGAAGAGAAATAGCACTTATTCATTAGTGCTTTCCAAAGGAAGTCAGAGTAATCATTTGACACAGTACAACAGCAAGTGCATGCAGCTAGCACACCAATGAAACCAACATAAAGTCAAAAAACGATACATATGAAGAAATAAATCACAATAATGTGGAGAAAAAAAAAACCAATGATAACTCTCCCTCCCTATGCCAGTGATAAAAATGCAGTGAGGCTCTGAAGTCAGACAGTGTGCTACTGGCAAGAACCATTGTTACTTTTTTGAAATATGTACCTCTGTTTCTTAGATCTGAGAAGCATGTAAAAGAAAAGAAAACCAAACCCAAACCCAAACCTTAGTGGCTGAGGCCTATCACATCTGTATGCTGCTGTCCACTGACTAGGCTCTTAGAGGCCATGGGTGGTTCAGGAAGCTTGGGAGCAAAGAGAAAACCTTTACATTCAAGCAGTGTGATTAGGAAGTGGCAGAGCAGACAAGGTATTAGTTGTGCATCTCAGTGAGTCAGTAGTACCATCGAAGAATTGACTTTTCCTAAACAGTCAAAGATGTTGTGAACGACTGGGACCTCAGGAATACATAACCTAGCTGGATCAGAATTGAGGAGTAGGACACCTCAAGCTACTCACATCCTATGAGAGGCACACACACATGCGCACAGATAGTAATCAATGCCACGTTTTCCAGGGCACTAGATCAACACTGTCTATAAGCTGGATTCTGGCAGCAGCTTGGGAGATCTGAACGTAGGCCAGCATGTGATTTGTCCTGGTGTCTTGGTTGCTCTATTTTGGTTGCTGACTGTGTCATTTTCTTGAATATTGAGTCAAAATAGATAATGCTTCATAGAATATGAGCTTTTACATGAACACAGGAAATGGAATAGGTAACACGATTGCCTTTGGTTTCTTTTATGATTAAAAAGGCTTTAAAAAAGATCTGTTCCTGAGAACAACTTACTGGAAATAATTCTAATCTTGATGGTATGGAGGATAGCTACTATAAGATGCTTGCAAAATATGAAGACGAATAAAGTACCAGAAGCACTTAACACTTCATCACTGTTACTACCTGCAGGTCACAGGAAAGAAAGGGAGTAGAAGATGTCCTATTTATACCATATGTACTTACACTACTTGGACAATGTCATCTCTTGAGATAAGAAGTCGACTATGACTTAGCAGCAGAAGACTCTCCTAGTGCTTTGTGTTTGGGTTTCCTGTTGTGGGGCTTCAGGAGACTGAACTGGGCCTTGAAGAGTGGTACAACACCAAATAATCATGTTTGCCTCACTGTGTCTTTTCTTCCCACTCATCCCTGTAGTTATGGCTGCCAAAGGACTGGAGAGGAATTTTCTTTTTCCTTTTTGGTTAGGTTTTATCCTGACTACTCAGTATGTGTGTGCTACTTCTGAGAGGCCTAAAGAAGTGTGTGAGACAACTTGGAACAACTGGTTCTTTCAGTTCATAACAGATGTTAGGGATACAGGCCATCAAGCTGTGGACTCAATTTCTTTATAGGAGGGAATTCTGAAGGGAAGTTGCCTTTCTGTGCCAGGCCATGTGATTTTATGTGCATATAGTGCTTTTGGGACTCTGGGTTGCCCAACTGCCTGACATGTGTTGAGGCCTGTTTCACTCTAATAAATACCTCCAAACCTACCTGTCACTCTACCATAGTTTGTCTGACAAGGGCTGTGGGGTTCCCATTCACTGTCACATAAGTCCCATACAAGAGCTCTCCCCCATTTTGTCATTTTTTACCTCTTAAAATAAAAACAGAATGAACTTCATACTCTCAAAATATTGGAAGGAAGTTTCATGAATAGTAGAGTATGTGGGAGGCCTGCCACTCTAGCAAGCAACATTCCAGCTATGTCCCCCATCTTCTGGGTAGTATTCTGTCATGGCTGCCTGTGTTCTTACACTATACTCCAACTTAGACATACTTTCTTGAAGCTCTGCTTGCTTCTGCTGCTGCTATGTGTGTGGAAGAAAACTCCTAGCCATATGTGCTTGGGGATGTTTATAGGGAGGCAAGAAGTAGATGGAGTATAGATGCCAAGGTAGGGGCAACTGGTCAGGGACCTGCGCAGATAAGAGTGGTCTTGGTCTTCCTAGCCTCAGGCGTACTTCTTCTAGAATATAACCATATTCTTGAATAAAGAATAAGGGGGTTGTTTAAAAATCTTTCAAATACAAATGCATTGAGAATATTTATACTATTTTGGAAAATCTGAAGGCTGTGTTGGCCAGATTCAGGGAGAAATGGGTAAAGGACCTCATGGAATCATCTGCAGAGTCATCAGAGGAGGATTTCAACTTTTGAGAGCAATTCTTATGAATTACCTGGTGTTTATTATACATAAGATAACCATGATATCAGAGTTAACACTTAACAACTACTCAGGTGCTGGTATCTGATTACCTCTAAAAGCCTTGGACAATAGAAGCAGAGATTTGAAGTAAGTATAGTTGAATAAAATATTTCAATTATTTCAATTTAAAAGAATAGGGTTTTTCTTTGAGAAAGCTGCAGAACAGTTCTTTCCCCCTATTCATCTAAATTCTCATGTATGCTATTAACACAAAGAAGGATGGATAAAATGATGGGTATGACAAACCTCTGTAAGGGAGGTCTGGGCAGCTGGCCTGACAAAATAGTTGGTATGTAGCCTGATTACTCAGTCTGTTACATTTACTCTTCAGACCTAAGTTAGTTAAATGACAGACACACCAACAATTATTTTTGTGAGCATCATGGAAATGGTACTAAAAAGCAGAACTACAAGGAGTGTACCATAAGCAGACTACATTTATTTGTGAGCCACTCTTCTAAGAGATAGATCACACAAATAAGAGGGAAAAAGTAAGGAATGTATTAGAACAGGTTTATGACCTACTGACTGAGTTTAAGTTTTCATTTGGATAGATGAGGTGTATTCTGCTAACCAACACCTTAATGAATGAGGATCTGGGAAAAATAACTGGAACTAGGGAAGATGTAATAATAGTGGCACTTCCATGTTTACCTATGTTGTTAAGATCACAAATGCAAATGTGTTTGGGTTGTGCTCTGGGATGGAATGATATTCATCTTCAGAAACTGCTAGCTGACAGATTAAATCAATGATTCCACAATGTAAATAAGAGCACTGTAAGCTAGGGTAATGTGTCCAAAGGCTCTCTCTCTTTCTTCACATAAAAGAATTCAAAATCACTCTTCACCAAGTGTTTCTGACTAGTAACCGTAAAACAGTCATAGTTTCAAGGATGCCATGTTAAGCCATTTGGAAGAATAACATAATTTAAACAAAGAAAAGGATGCCATTTCTCTTACATTTAGAAATAACTAATCAGATAGAGGCTCTTGGGTAGATGTATCTGCACAAAGCAGTTTTTCATCTTGAGATACTATTATATCCTCAAACTATCCTCAAACTATCCAGATGAAAGTTATGAATGACTCACTTTCTTTTTGATTGTATTGATTCTGGCTTTACCTTTAGAGAGTTGAACTTTTATTTAGTTTCACTCATTAATATACAAGGGAAAGGAAAGGTTTTTCAAATAGTTTAAGCTAGCAGTTTATCTATGGACCCTTTTAGAGAGGGGCTAACCCTCTGGCAGGGAAGAGGACCAAGTCTAGGCCAAGATGCATCATCTATCCACTTCCTTTCTGTTGCTGTTCATGAAGAATAGCTGGTTCTGTTCAGAAATCCTTTGTAGCCAAAGTACCATACAGTAACCATCCCTGGGACATAGCTGGGAGGGAAACAATACACAAGCTGTTGTTAACTGTTGTAGGAGCTGACTGTCTAGAAAAGTATTTCTTGATTACCTTGAGAGAATTATCTGCAACAGGTGAAATCATAATTTGTGTGAGGAAGAATGAACTAAGAGGATAATCTACCCTAAAAGAGTTTCCCTTAATATTTAATGAGACAAGTATTAAATACTCTCCCCAAGTTGATGCTAAAGTTGTAGAAGAGGTTTGTACTACTAACAATCAAGAAGGAATGAATTTATTTCAATTTGTGTATAATTTTTGTTTAATTAAACATTTTCTGGTTCACACTGACTGGTAAGTAGGCATATGTAAGGGATATGTGAAATTAAAAACATTCTTTCTTAACCTGTCACAAACTATATGTACTTCTATTAACCCAATTGTAAACAATGAAAATCACAACCCAATTTGAAACTGTTGTACTTGCCAGAGCAAACTTTGTGTAATGTATGATCCCATACAAAGACTAGATGTGGTTTCTCATCATTCAATGAAGTTCCCCCAGGTTTCTCAAAATAAAGATGGGAAAAGCCCAGTAACACAAAACAAAGCTGGTGCAGAGGCACGAGACATGGACAGAGACACACAGCAGTCATGAGCACGTGCTGAGGAGGACAACCATTCCCACTGGCCTGTTACTCTGCAGACCAAGGACAGGCAGGCGATCAAATCAAAGTCCTTGTTTGAGGGGAACTAGGTCCTGGGGCAAGAGAAGCAGCATGAGGGATGTATGCACACACACATCCGAAACCCAGGTGAAGGGCAAGTGGGCTGGCACAGCTGCAGGACAAGGTCAAAAAGAGGAGCCGCACCAGAACAGGACTCAGGCCTCCAGGCTCCTAGGTGGCTGCTGGAAAATGTAAAAGCTGGAGGCAGTTTTAACTGGAAAAAAACATTCTGGCTGTCACAAGGCTACCAGGCCATGTGCTATATGCTAATTAAGAGCCATCACATGTGGAAGGAAACACTTTTTTCTTTATGGTCAGATAAAACTCAGTCTAGGTTTGTTTTTTTTGTTTTTTTTTTGTTTTTTTTTTTTTTTGCCTTCCTAGTGCATCTAAATGAAAAGACTTAATAAAATCTGAACATTATCTACTTACTAAAATATGGTTTATTTTCTTGTCAGGATTATACAAATTAATCTTTATGTGGATACATTTTAGAGTTTAAACTCTTTCATTACATTTATTTACTTTGTGTGTGTGTGTGTGTGTGTGTGTGTGTGTGTGTGTGTGTGGGTGCTCGTGCATGCATAAAAACTTGTGGAGGGGCCAGAGGACAACTTGCTTAAGTTTGTTCTCTCCTTCTACCAAGAGGATGCTTAGGGGTTGAACTCAGTTCATCAGGCTTGGCAGCAAGTACCTTTACCTGCCAAGCCATCTTGCTGGTCCAACTTTGTTTTTGCAAATTATTACTTTTTGGACTTTTACATGTAAATTAGGATTTTGATTTAAAAAAATTGTGGTCTGGCCACTCACTAAAAATACTTATTAACTGATGGCTTTAAGTGAGGTAAATGGCCAGGACCTACTTTTTACACATTTTTAGCAGGCAGGTGTTACATTGCTTGGGCCTTCTGGTAGATAACTAGGTCCACAATGCAGAAATTCTGTTGGCTGTTCTGGGCCTCCTGGGCAAGGAGGGTGAACAAATGGAAGGACAGGTAAATTATATGTCCTCCTTATGACTGAGGCTCAGTTCCCCAGTGCAGAGGCCCACACCAAACTTGTGTGACTCATCCTCAAGCCTGGGCACTATTTCCCCATATGCATCTGAATAACAGAACAGCTAGTTAGCTGTGTGGGACAGAGGCTAGTTTCCTTTCTAAACGGGTCAGTTTGTTTCAGAATCAAGTGTAATTTGCTAACCTATTTGCCCATATCCTGTGTTGTCTGTCACTGCTGTAGAGGCACCCATATCTCCAGGCACTTCATGAAGATATTTCTTTTTCTAGCAGTACGTCTTTGCCACTCAGTTGCATTTCTGGCTTCCAACGACTAGCTTTTTGCTCTTACACTTATCTAGAATCCTTGGTTTTTCAAGCTGGAGGGCACCTTTAATATCATTTGACCCAGAATTTTCAATTTTCCCAAGGAGACTAGGCCAGAGAGGGAGCTGTGATTTGCCTCAGCTCTTACAATTGACTGGCAGTAGAGCTGGGCATATGCTACCCAACTTCCACTCCATTAACTTTTCTATTATAATACACTGCCTTGCAGCAGGGCTGAGAAAACCAAAAACCAAACCAAACTTCTTTGGAACCTGAAAAACTAGCTGTCAAGCCACAGAAATCTAAGGATTTGGATTTACACTACACATTGGAAAGAAGCTGAGGTGGGATGTGGTTGGGTTTATTTTGAGTTACAATCAAAGGGGGAAAGCTTTTGCCTATTGAACCATGTGCTCCTCCATCCCAAGTTTTAGTTCTCCCAATTTCATATCCTTTTTTGGTCAATTCTGGCTGACCATTTTCTGAAGAATTTAGGGGAAGGCTGTCCACCAGAGCAGCAAATACTCACTGTTTAAGGTACCTGCTAGTGCATTAATATTATTCAATCCGACAGTGGCTCCAGCCAATCCTTGCAGAGTCCCAAGAGAGGTCAAGGAATTCATGGCTGCACCAGCAGTAGAATTAGGGGTTGAAGCAGCCACTGAAAAAGAGAAAGGGAGAGAGAAAGCACAAGATGAGAGCTAACTGGAATAAAAAGAAACCGTTGTCACTATACAAGGCTAACTGTGGAGCCACTTAAACACCACAGACCTGTGATTCTTCCTTAAAGTTTTTTTGTAAAAGACAAATGGAACTGTACTTGTAGGCTCTTTGGCACTCAGAGTTAGTAACTGAAGAGATTACATGGCGGGCTTGGCTCATAGCTCAGTGGTTCTCAGCCTTATTGAGCAAGGCCTTTAATTTCAGTCCCCACCCTTGCAAATAGCCCACCTCCATCTGATTTGCCAGCATAATGAATATGCTGCTTGATGTTTCCTGGGAAAAAATTGTGAATGACAACTCTCAAGTCTATATTACCCTCTGTTAGTTCCACTATAGGAGACTCTCAAATTTATATGTTGTACTATTTTACTCACCAAACTTTTTTTTAGCTATATCTAAAATGCTCTTAGTTTTAGAGTCACTGTATGTTACATTATAATTTACATTTTCAGAAGCATCAGTATGGTTATTTAAATAATCAGTTGCCATTCTAATTTTTTAAATCCTTTAAGTTTCTCTAAACATACTAGTTTTACTTTCTTTCTGTAAATGTATTAATAGTTCTAATATCTGAGGTCATGGATTGATCTAAATATATTGTCCAACTCTAAATCAGCTGTTTAGCTGTTTAGGTTTTTTTTTTTCTTTTTTTTTCTTTTGGGTCTTTTGAGACAGGCTTTCTCTGTGTAGCTTTGTAGACCAAGCTGGCCTAGAACTCACAGAGATCTGCCTGCATCTGGCTCCTGAGTGCTGCAATTAAAGGCATACACCACCACTATGCACCACTGCCGCCTGGCTTCTGTTTAGGTTTTAAAAAGATTTATTTTTTACTGCTTATTCATATGCTTATTGGATATATTTGCATATGAATACTGGTACCTGCTGAAACCAGAACAGGGAGTTGGATCCCTTGGAGCTGGAGTTACAGGCATTTATGAGCCACCCATGGGTAATGGTATTCAAAGCCCAGTCCTCATGCTAGAGCTTTGAACACTCTTATCTGCTGAGCTATGTCCAGCCCCTGATTTCCTACTTTTGGTGCTTAGTTTAACTATAGTTTATGATTTTTGAATATGAGAGCTTTAGTATTATTTAATATCATTGAGAGATTATTTCTGGAAATCTTTGATCTTTGATTTGAGGTCTGGATTGAAGATGGGTTTTTTCAGGGATGATTTCTATTTGATTACATAAGGTACTGGAGGAAAAGGCAAACTACAGACCTTTACAAATGGCTTGAAGAAGCTCATGTGAAGGCTTGTTTATTACTATAAATTCTCAGAGGGAAATACCTACAGCCCTTCTTAGTTCATCTCATACTAACAGTTTAGCCTTTTGGGGTTCCAGAGGTATATTCAGATGGTCCTATATGAGATACCTCAGATAGGTTACAAACTTCTTGTATTTTTTATGCACCAGGACCCTTTGAAAATTTATACTCAAGTTTTTCTAATTCACCAAATGCCTCTAATGTGTAAGCTACTTTCATTGTGCTACTTCCTGGGTTTGCCCTTTTATTTACCACTCATCTCTAAGCTTTCTACTAATTTACTACTTACTGATGTGATTAAAGTACAAACCACAACAATATTTTACTATACATGGTAGCTTTTCCTCTTCCAGTGGGAATTCTTTCTGATAACCTAGTTCATCTAATTTATAAATATCTGGCACATTTTCCATGGACTCTATCTGATGTTAGTCTACATGTCCCCATGGACTCTATCTGTTGTTATTCCACATGTAAAAGCCTTTACCAGATTGTGCTCGTGAATAAGGTAGAAAAACTATTCATGATGTATGTTTGAATTCTAAACTAGCAAGAAATACTGAAAAGAACAAAACAAAACATGAATTTAAGTGACAGGAGTAAAGAACTGAAAGGGCAATGTAAGGTTATCTGTGGACCCTCTCCTCTGTGAAGTAAATGTAACTAGTGAAAATTATAAAATGCAACAGTTATTCTCTCTAGAAATTGTCCTAACAAATGAAGAAATCTATTGAAAACTGTAAGAATCAAAGGAATCTGTGGCATTTAAAGCAGTCTATAACAGGTTTCCTTCCATGGGTGTCTCAGTATCATACATGAAGTTGAGTTTAATAGAAGCTTGACTGAGACTGAGGAAGCAGGCTCCCTTCCTCACAGGTCCAAATCTAGAGCTAGGGTCCCTTCAAGGGAGGTAGAGACCCCACTATTTCTAACTACCCCTATTCCTTTCTCCTCTGTTCTGTTTTATACAGATGATATTCCAAGCCATGCAGAGTGGAGAACTTTTCCCTAAACAGCTGGGAGAATACCGGCTCCACTTACTTTCACACCATCACTTATAGGCTAGAAATCTGTGCTAGAAAAGGCAAGTCAAGAAAAGTGTAACCTATGACTCTTGTACAGAAACTCTTCTGAAGAGCAGAGGTGTCACTCAAAGAAAATCAAGCCATTGTTCTATACCAGCTTTGAAATAATGACACAGAGAGTTTCTATCTAGAGTGTAAGACAGACTGTAAGAAATACAGTTTCTTACCTTTTATTGCACTATTTTTGGAACTCCTGATAGAAGGCAAAGAACAGGCACAAAGTAGAATTAAGTATGAAAATGTGAGAAGCTAACTGCATGAAGTGTCCTAAAGTGAGAGGAATCCATGTATGCTGTATCTTTGGCTGACACTTTAAAAATCTGCCCTAATTTTAGTTGCAAAGAGATCTTTCTATTGCATATAGAGTTGCCTTTAAGAACCATTTGAAGTTTAACAATCTGTTTAAAATCAGATTTGTCACAGGGCCAATCTCAGCCAAGCACTTAAAAACTAAATGTCCAGCAGATGCACAATAGAGGAAAAAGTTCCTTAATACAACACAGAAACAAATTAAATGACATCAACCCACATATTTTCCTATTTCCGTGTTGGCAGTCTAGCAATGAGCTGTCTTGGATAACTGCATTCTGTCCACCTAAATTTCTCTTCAGTCTTCACTGGGAGCGACATCTTTCACTTTCTCACAACTTTGTAAAATGCCAAAAGAACACTTCAGGAAAGGTGTGCATAAATGTTGGCTCCTTTTCCAAGAGTGCCTGTTGGTAGGAGCTGCTTCATTTCACACAAGAGGCTGCAGAATAAGATAAGGAGGAATCCAAATGGGGTCCAGCAATGTTTGCCTCACCTTGTTTATATGGTAACAGTGATAGCTTTCATACATGGCATTTGAAGCCTGCCTTACCACAGCTTATATCTTACCTACCAGTCTATAGATGTTTGGATAAGCTGACTAACAAGGAAAGAAAATGAAATGTAGTAGACAAAAGTCTTGTCTTTATTAGCTCATGTGGCACACAGTCTGTGCCCTTTTGTGAAAACTGTGTGTACAGGTAGTATAAAATTTGAGAAGTGAGATAGTCAAAGGAGATTGGTGGTAAGGATATGCTTACTTCAATATGATCACAAAATTTCTTTGCTCATCTGAGTAAGTTTGTTCCTTACTGTAAAAATTCCACATTGGGAAATCCCTAATGCCAACCCTAATGGAGGGAACATGATGGCTTGTCTTTAGAATTTGTCCTTGGTAAACAATATATCCAAGAGTTTATTGGCTCAGATGAAAACTGTGGGTCACAGACTCAGGCCTTTGTGATGCAGAAAGACAATAGTGTTAGCAGATCCCCTACTATGGTACTCAACCAAAGCCAGCCCTGGTTTCTACACTCAAGTTGTTAACATTAACAAGTAACAAGTCTTTCAGACATTCTTTCACTACAGGTGGATCTTTTAAGACCACTTGAAAACTAGTTGGAAGCCTTTTCTTTTTCTTAAGGATGAGAAAGCATAGATTAAGATGTTAAATAGATTGACCTGGTTAGTACACAAGAGATGTACACCAGCCTACAATCCACACTGCCAGAGAGGCTAGTAAACAAGGAGGACCCTAAGAGAGACATACATGGTCCCCTGGAGAAGGGGAAAGGGTCAAGATCCCCTGAGCAAATTGGGAGCATGGGAAGAGGGGGAGGGAGCTACGCAATGAAAAGGGGAGAAGAGGAGGGATGCAGAGGACATGAGGGAGCAGAAAGGTTGAGTCAGGGGAAGAATAGATGATAACAAGAATGGAGATACCATAATAGAGGGAGACATTTTAGGTTTACAGAGAAATTCGGCACTAGGGAAATGTCTGGAGATCTACAAAGATGACACCAGCTAACAGTCTAAGCAACAGAGGAGAGGCTACCTTAAATGCCCTCCCTGGATAATGAGATTGATGACTGACTTATATGTCACCCGATAGCCCTCATCTAACACCTGGTGGAAGTAGAAGCCAACACCCACAACTAATCCCGAACTGAACTGGAACCTAGATGCAGAGAAGGATGAGTGAAGAGCAAAGGGGTCCAGACCATGCTGGTGAAACCCACAGAAACAGCTTACCTGAACATCCGGGAACTCTTGCTCCCCAGACTGATAGCTGGGATACCAGCATGGGACTGATCCAGACCCCAGGAACATGGGTTTCAGTGAGGAAACCTTGGAAATGTATGGGACCTCCTGTAGTAGTTCAGTACTTATTCCTAGCATAGGTGTGGACTTTGGGAGACCATTCCACATAGAGGGATACTCCCTGAGCCAAGACACACGGGGGTGGCCTAGGCCCTATCCCAAAGGATATGATAGACTCTGATGACACCCTAGGGAAGGCCTCACCATCCAGGGGGAGCAGGAAGGATATGTGATAGGTAGGGTTTTAGTTGGGGGGTGGGTGGTAGGGGAGGTTGGGAGGGAGAAGGGAACTAGGATTGCCATGTAAAACAATCCTGTTTCTAATTCAAATAAAAAAATATCTGAAAAAAAAGATGTACAGATGCCAGCTAGAATTCCAGCTGTGTACATGGTTCACAGAAAGACCACAGGACTTTTTTATGCAGATATAAACAGCTTTTTTTTTTTGGTTTA